ACTAGAGAAAAAGCAACAATAAAATACTGTCCTTTCACTATAAAACTCAGACTATTATCTAACACTTTCACTTACCTCACGCCACATCTCCACGCCTCTTTCGACGTTGCACGATCGGCGATCGCGACATAGCGACAGACTCACCGTTATAACCCCCAACAACATATAATTTTTTACTACATCAAATCTACATATAATTTTTATTGTTCGAAATATAATGTAATATTACTATTTTAATTATAATGACAATAAAATACTATTTGTTATAAAAAAAAATCGACATAATTTATTCCTTTATTTCAAATGCAACAATATTTTCTATTATCTAGTATTTAATCAGTTGTATAGTTTAAAAAATTACTTATAATAAAATAAATAAATAAAAATTCTTAAAAATACTTTAAATATATAATTTTGATATTAATTAATTTTGAATTATTATTGTATTATTAAGATTTTTTATATTTATTATTGTTCCAATATCTGCGAATACGTGATAATGTCCATCCTTCACTTTGATTAGAAAGTTGTTGTAAAATTTTGTAAGCTTTGTCTTCTAAAAAATTATCATCGTTAAGTATTGTTTCAAGAATTTTTTTTCATTTTCAGTTGTTTGTCAATATTGACGCTTTGTAAAACTAGTTTCTAATATATTGTTATTTGCTTTTTCTAACTTTGAATATAAAGATTGTTTGTTTTTTTATTTGTATCAACATGCTTTTCATTATAATCCTTTGATATTGTTGATTGAAGATTTTCAAATTTATATGATATTATATTGCGAGAACGACGTCCTTTTACAATTTTTTCTTCTATTTCATAAACATCTTGTCGTAAAATAGCTTTAAGTCATAAAATACTAAGATCATAACTTGAAAATAATCTTTGAAAGCCTGCCTCATTTATTTCTTTTGTATTTTTAAATAAGTTATGGACTTTGGATTCTGTTAAAGAAAATGCATCCAATAATTCAAAAGCCAACTTCTATAAAACTTCTTTTCGTGATTTAATTGCTCGATTTTTTTTAATAATAACTGTATCACCAACATATTCTGATATTAATAAAGTTAAACAATCTCTTTCGGCTTGTACAGAAGCTATTTGTTGTTTTAATTCCTCACAATTTATAGATTTTCCTCTAATATTTTGTTTAACAAAATTAACTCCAAATCGTTCTAATGCTTCATCAAATGCAAAGTAATGCCCAGAACGTATTAAATTAACTGAACATATTTGTTGAAGTAATATCTTAAGAGATGGTTTATTTTCAATATATGATAAAAAATATGTTACAGATCTTGCATAATTACTTTTACCAGCAATAAGAAAAAGTGGTGAAAATGCAGAAAGATTCTTAATTTGCATTTCAAAATTTCCTTTTTGAATTCCAATCTTATGACCAATCCAATATCCAGTCCATATAAAATAATAATACCAAACTTTTAGTAATTTATTATTATTATTTTTGATATCATTCATTTCTTTATTTTTATCAATTAAATATTGATTAATTGCTATGCCAACTGCTACCCAAATTAATTCTAGAACACAAGTTGCTTGATAGTCGACTACTTTTTCTAATTTATCTAAATATTTAACACCATGTTTTGCTGCTAAATTAAATATTCCATAGCCCAAAAAAATAGTTATTATTGTATTACACATAGCTTTTGAAGTATGCCATTGTCCTAAAAGTAAACAAACTTTTTGATTGATGTTTTTATATAATATTAATTGCCGAAATATAGCCTCATCACAAGCTATATATAAATTATCGTTTGTTATTTTTAAATCTTCAAAATACATTTCACATGCCTTATGAATATCTTCATTACAATTTGGATTATCATCAGGTTGGAGAATTACAATATTAGGTGGTGGAACTTGACATCCTTCTTTTATTTCTCCTGTAATTTTTTGAAGAATATCATCTGTATCCCAATTTGTTGCTTGTGCTTTTAAAAAATTATTAAAATTTTTTCCCATTTAAATAATAAATCGTCTATAAAAGTTGAAGTTCCAAATATATTTTGATTTATAGATTTATCTCTATTATTTGTTAAATCTGAAGATTTTATCTGAATTGGTAAAATAAACTGAAATACCATTCTAAGAGTAATATGAGCAGTTTTACATGTTGTATCAAAAATATTATCATATTTAAATGTATTTTCTGCAAAATCAATATTGTCTATTACTGCTATATTCTATATGTTTTCACCTTTCCATAATCTACTTTCTGGTTTTATTTTCTTGATTCTATTTTTTTCTAATTATTGTTCATATCGCTGTGTATGTGATGCAATATTTGCTGTACACAGAATACTATATAAGGAGGATAATAATTTTGGCTTACGATATAATGAACTTATTATATGTGTTAACCATATATTAGTACCAGGAAATGCAATATTTAATATAATTGAAATTAAGAATGTTGATATTTTAATCGCTTGTGTTGAATCAAAAGCCTTTATTGCAAGACCTCTTCTTTCTCTTTTTTGTTTTACTATTTCATATTTTTTTTGCAATAAAGTAATAATCATTCCATTAAAAAATCCAGACAAACAATTAGGAAATCCACTTTGATAATCTTCTAATGATTTTGGTTCTTCAAGTTTTTGTTTATTTTTTTGTATTTCATGCCGAGATTGCCATGTTGCAATTCCTAATGCCTCCCCAACTTTTGTTAATTCAGTAGAAAAGTTATAACTATTGGTTTTAACTTTTGTTATATTTACTTTACCAAGTCTTAAAGTGGTTTTAATATACAAAAGACTTGGAGGTTTAATTAAACATGATGTTTTTTTATCAAACATCGATAAAATTGAACTTAAATGTGTCAAAAGTATTTCTTTATATTCCTGTTCTGTAAATTCTGAAATACTTAAAATCCAATGTCCTATAAGTTTAAGGGCTTCGGTAGTATCATTGCTATGTTTGTTTTCACATTAAAAAAGAGATTTATTGACTTGTTTGTTTCTTTCAAAAAATGTTCTCCTTCTAAATTAAAACATTCTGAACAAATATAATGTGGTCGATAATTATTTGATTTATTAGATTCATTATTGCTAGAGTTATTTTTCAAATATTCTTCTGATAAAAAACTAGAACAGACTTTAAATCCAGTGCAAGGTGCTTGTATATTACGATTAACTATATGTAAAGAATGTTGAATACATGTTTCTCCACGACTAAAGAAAAGCTTATATTTGTTGCAAAATAAATAGTGGCGATGATAAATCCAACTTTTATCAATTGATCGTGACTTTTTAATATTTGGTTGATGAAGTGATTTTTGATTATAAATAAAATGCGCATAGCAAACACCTAAAGAATATAACTTATTTTCTTCTTTTACTTTTTGAAATTTTTCTCTATCTATTTCTCATGTGCCTACTAATTGTGCTAAAGGTCGTTGTCTATCTGTTTTGTTTGAACAATATTGAATATGTCCATCAATCATATCCAAAAGAACACAAGATGTTAAACTTTGACCAAATGTGTTCTCAATTAAGTATGTATTTCCTTCCATTGATTCTATTGACTCTATTTCTGGTATAGATAATAAATTCATATCACTATTTTCCTCATTGATATCTTCCCATGTAGGTTTGTTATTTTCATTTGTATTAATCATTGAATGAGCCTTTTCAAATTCAGTTTTTTCCCATGAAAATGGATATACTTCGATTTCACAATCCTGAGATTTATTTATAGTACTATCACTATCAGTTTCAAAACTATTGGATATTAAACTTTCATAATTAAAACTTGTACTGTCATTATTCAACTCATTATCCTTATTTCGATTAATATACTCAGGAGAATTCTCATCAAAGTTAAAAAGAAACGTTTCATGTGAGTCAATTGCTTCTTTTTTCATAGTTAAATATATTCTAGACTATTTTATTATTATTAAAAAAATGTTAAAAGTCAAAAATTATAATAAAATATTTTTTAAAAAATATCAAAAGTCAAAAATTATAACAAAATATTTATTTAAAAAATTACCGAATTATAATTTTAACCAAAGTTTCTTCTATATTATAAGCGCTATAAGAGAAAAAAAAAGTAAAAATTAATAAGAGGTAAAATTATATAATATTTTTATTTAATAAAGCAAAATAAATTAACTTACTATTTAAAAGGTTGTTATTTGAGTAAAAGTTATTTTCGTTATTTTTTCAATTAGAAAATCGAAGATTTATAGATAATGATCCCCTAATTAAGACAATTGCTCACAGATTAATGGACACAAATCAGATCACTATTAAATACGTATTAGATTTTGTCATACCTGATATGGATTATCGTTTAAATTTACTGTGGCATGTAATACAATACAATACATTGGACATTTCATTTGACTGATAACTAATAATAAAAATAATATAATAATATAATACTATAAAATAATAATCTAAAAATAGCATTATCAATACTTATAACAGTATTTATATACTTTATACAGATTATCCTTATATATTACTTTACTTTTAATACTTAATAATTTATTCCATAAATGATTTTCTATATTAAGACTTCATCAAGAATTTTTTAAAGGGTTATTTATCAATAGTCAACCAAAAATCATTAGTAATCAATTTTATAACATGAAAAAAATCTATAGAAATGTCAGAATATTATTATTTACTTTTTTAATTAAATAGTGAAGGCATATATTGGATAACTTTGATTACAAGAGTAGCTTTTTCTGAAACATCTGTTCCTACTTTAAGCAAGGAACATTGTATATTTATTCTTGCTATATGCAAGATTTTTTGAATTCTTGATCCAAGAATATCATATTTTGAAAAGCAGATAAAACATTGTATTGAACATTTTCTCATAAGTAATTAATTATAATATGATAATTTTTTTTAATATAATCTTTAATATATTTATTAAATAGAAAAATTTTAATAATGATGGTTTCTTTCTAAATTCAGCCAAAGAAATTTTAAATAATGAACTAGAAAATACATTAAATTGGAAGCAATTATAAGAAACATTAGAACAAGAACAAGAAAAGGCAGAATTAAATAGAATACAGCAAAACAATTCAATAATACTTTCATAAGAAGAACAAGATGCATTATTTGATATTGGTGAAGATAATAGAGATTAAATTAGAAATAAAATATAAAAATTTATAATTATACAAAAACAAATTATTTTATTTTAATTATTACATATAATATAAAAATTATAATTTATATTATAAAAAAACTTATTACATTGAAGGTTAAAAACTCTTTCCCACAAATCGATTTTTAACAAAAAATTTTCTTTTATAGTAACAACCTTTAAAACAAACATTTTGTTCCTTCCCAGGCACCTCCAAGCGCACTTTACACCTCAATCACTCCCACCATGGAGCCTCCAACCTTCTCAACAAATCAAAAACAATTTCTTTATGCAACTATCCATGATGACTGAAACTGCAAACTCCAAATTTACTACCTTGACTTAAAAACAAATACAATTCACAAAACCAATTATGCCAGAACCATTACCATTCCTAATCTTATCAACTATCCCAAATGCAAAAAACATCAAAGAAATTCTCAATACTAGTGCCATTAAAGATACTAAAACTATTATATTCGAAGAAACTGCTGTCAAAAAAGATGCAATTCCTATGATCAAAGCTATTGTCCAAAATCCCAGAATTGATAACTTCGATTTTAACTATATTACCAATATTGCCAATAAAATGGAAAAAGTTCAACTTGACCAACACCTTCACAAGTGCTTTCAAGAATTTCTCTCTCTTCTGGAGAAAAAACAAAAAACCCCATGCAACTTCCCCCTGAAAACAATCTACTGTCTATCAATTTTCTTGTTCCCTAAAAAAGGAATGACAATCAATCAACTACAATACAAACACATGCAAATACCTCATTCATCACTTCAGCCCCTTCTCAATATGGCAATACCATAGAAATCAGTGAAACACATGATGAACCAATGAAACTCTCTGATCTGGATCCTATCCAGCAAACCCCTCGCAATCAAATATTTCTAACCATCAACCAATAATTAGTTCACCTGACAATTCCATAACCATTTCCAATCTAATGGATATTAGCGAAATAAAATCAACAAACCAATCACAATACATTAACTTTGAAGATGTTGTGGATCTCGATCAACTCTCCAAATCCACCAATAACAATAACCAACCACCTCAATCAAACACATGGTTATCCTCTTTTGATCACCAAATCCAAGAAGAATTACAACAAATCCAAGATAACAAACAATATGATACTCTTCATAAGGAAACAGAATTCTTAGCTAACCAACTCTTACCAGCACCAAATGACATAAATACAGTTATTCAAATTATCACAAAAATCAAAGAACTACCCAAATATCTCCATATATTCTTCAATCTATATTTAACAAACTTAACTTCAAGGACTGCACTTTCTTCAGCTCTTTTACTTCCAAAACAGATATCAAACCAGCTCATCAAAAGGAATTTAACGAAATTGAAAAGGACTTCCAAGAAAAATACAAAAAAAAAATGCAATCTCAACTTTATCAACCTGGAAACAAAAAAAAAAATCTGAGTGATCGTTTGTACTATTTTATCAATTATCTATTTTAGGACTATTGATATCAACAATATGCCCTTCTACGAATTAGTCAGCCTTCTCACATATCTCATCAACTACTTTATTTGTAAACCACAGTTCTTTATTGACTACACCATTTCCAAAGATAAACTCAAGAAATCAGTGGACAAACTACTTCCAGAACTCCCATTCTCATCAAACGAAATTCCAGCTAATATAAAAATCAAGCTTCCATACAACCTACCAATGCAAAACAAATCTCAACTTGTTCCAATTCTATGTACACTAAGATCCCATTACAAATTCCAAAAACTTTCAGACAGTTTTTTTAAAATCAATCCTCCACTACCTAAAAACCCTACCGACCTCTTGCCAAAATATAGAGAAATTTTCCCAATAAAAAAACACAATGAATTAATCAGACTTTCTGATCTAAAGGGCCATCTTTGTGAAAATTATCAAGTCCCCCCAATCTTTCCAGCTCATACTTCGAATTACTACCACCAAAAAAATCACTCCCATCAACCTACCATTTGTTGGAACCTAAATATTGAAACTTCTTTTCCTTTAATCCCAGAGACAGCTCAATAACTATACAAGAATTAACTACACTTCTTCACAAAACCTACTACTTCAAACTACTACCAAATAACTTCTTCTACATCAGGAAAAGGCTACCATCATCACCTGACAAAATTCTCGATCTTGAAATAAACATTTCCCTGCCAGTAACAAATCCAGCTGATATTACACATCTTATCAACAGCTTCTCAAAAAAATTTATCTTCCAAACTCCTTTATCAAAAGAGTGAATTGATATTATGAATCAAAACACAAACTCAAACCCTCAAACACTTCCAACCAAATCTCCTCTCCTAGAGGACTATAATATTGTCAATGAAAAAGTCAATACTAACTTCCCAATAACAAACAGAAAAATCATCAAAGAAAACGTAATTAAAACATATCAACATTATCAATTTTTCAAAATTCCAGACAACTGGATTCAAATCCAATGGAAACCCTTATCCCAAGCCCCTCTGAATTAAAAAATTACTTAATCCAAAACAAAATCGAAATGGATATCCCCTTAGTTAATGATGCTGACTTCATCTCAAAAATTCATAAACTTAGAGAACATTTTGCCTTTCAAAGGCTCCCCAATGAATATATTATCCGAATCGAACTTCCTGAACCATCCACAAAATTCTTCAACTTCTTTAAACAATGATTAATACAAACAAACTATTAAAAAATTTTTCAATAAAAAAAGATCACTCAAAAATCATACTCAGCAAATCTCTTACCAACACAAAACAACAATCATTGAAAATTGGCTTCCTTAATACAAGGGGACTCAACAACCACACAAAACTCAATTGCCTTCTTCAATATATAAAAAACAACAATTATGACATCTTTGGTATTTGTAAAACAAAACTCCAAACTACTAAAAAAATTCCACACACAATTGATAACTTTATTATACACTTAAGTAACTTTGATCAAAGTCAAGCAGAAGTATCAATAATTTTTAACAAAAATCTCTCTAATCACCTTTACAAAACTATCAAATTTCAAGGATATATTATCTCAATCTTCCTTCAATTCAAACCCAAAATAAAAATCTGTATCACACAAGTATATCCTCTTCATGACTCAAACACAAGAAAAAAACCAATTCCTATCTCCAAACACTGATCAACAACAACTCCTCAAAAAATATCTCATATATCATCATGGGCAACTTCAACTCAATATCCAATCCGATCAACAGAACTCAAAAAACCAAACCAAAATACAAATTACTTATTTACAAAAAACTTATCAAAAACTATGTTGATATACTTTGCCTTTTCTTCCCTCGCAAAACCATATACATATTTTTAGGACCTACTGGTCAAAGTCGCATTGATCAAATATGAATATCAAATGATATTGCCACCCAATCCACCAAAACATAAACACTAAACCAGAATTTCACAGTGACCACAAAATTATCACACTAACACTCTCAAACTTCCTAATCTCCAAACTTCCTAAAAAAACATCTGCCACTTATTACAACTTCAACAAAATGACTCCTAAAACCTGGGAAACTATTAACACAACTATCGCCAATGTCCTATCTTCCTTTTCCGAAGAATTCAACACTGAAAAAACCTAGAAATTCTTCAATTCAAATATAATTAAAACTCTCAACAAACTAGTTCCAAAAACAAAAATCTGTAAAAACACTCCACAAATTTTCAGTAAAAATGATACAATACTTCACAAAAAACTTCAAATAATCAAATTT